TTCCAGGTAACCCTTTGATAAAAGGGGAGCACTGCTCAATACTACCACGAGGACAGCCCATGGAGCGAGGAATCCAACTCCTCAGAGAGGATTAACGCTTGAAAGAAAACACCATACTCACAAAAACCCTTAATGGTGAGGGGAGCAATGCTTCCAGAGTGTGTCGACAGAGACACACTAGTTGAGTGGAGCCCAAGGTACAGGGGTCTAAACCAACTAAGAGAAAGGGAACGAGATCAATAACGCATAACCCTTACCATATAGGTTTTAGAAAAGTGGGCAAAGCATAACGTGCACACTTACCACTTATGTGGATTTTAGAAAGTGGGCAAAGCATAACGTGCACACTTACCAGCTATGTGGATTTTAGAAAGTGTGCAAAGCATAACGTGCACACTTACCACTTATGTGGATTTGTAGAAAAGTGTGCAAAGCTTAACGTGTGCACTTACCATAGTATTTGGATTTTAGAGTTTTCCAAGCATCTATTTACAGATACCCGGAAGTACTGGGCCAAACGGGAGAGGCAAGCTCAAATACAACCCTCAAAGGTGAGGGGAGCACTGCCCGAGACAGCATTTACACAGGAAGGTTCTCGTAATGCCACCTATACCTCCCACTCGATGCCTCAGCAAGAGGGGATATCCTGGTGATTGGGAAGCCCCTCAGGGCTACCCAGATATGGTAGACCAGTCAGGGTAGCATGAAAGCATAACCCCAGCCGGGACGTCCAGGAAATTTTTGCAGTGACGCACCAGAGGCCTGATGATCACGAAGGCTCCCGCAGAAGCCTGTGTTATGGCCGCTTAGGAAGGTGAAGATAAGGGCAGATGTAAGACCCCCGAAGGAAATGCGTAGATACTGAGGTATCACTCTGATCCGGACAAAAGCGTTGACGCCCTGTCTGGATCACATCCCTTAGGTCTTTTACTTACCTTCCTTTGAGCCGGGGAGGAGCGCGAGCCGCGACACTAGCCTTCTGAGACAGTCTCTGATCGAGATGGGCTAGGACCCCTGGGTTGTTCGGGCTCAGACCTGGACTTCGTGAAGGCCGCTATCCCGGTCTTTCAGCAGGTCAGCCTGATATGCTTGGAGCATCACCATCGTGTGCAATGAAGCGACAGCCCGACCTGCTGCTGCTGCGTATGCCCTGGCATCCGAGCGAGATATCAAGAAGGGGAGTCTTAGAGGACTTCTCACGCATAGAGAGATAGCTGGCCAGCGTCTCTCTATAGGGGCATCTTCTCAT